TCCTTTGGGGTCCATGCCTTTGCATTTGTTCCCTCTATGACCCATGTCCTTGTCGTCCTTGCCTGTATCACCCATGTTTTTGCCATCGTTGCCTTTATCATCCATGTCGTTATGCTGCCAGCAGAAACAGATAGTTAATGGTACGGATGAATAGCATATGTTACCGAAATTATGCACTACTCTGCTTAAATAATTGGTTTAATTTTTCATATCGGATTCATGTACCTAACTCAGTCCTTCAAAAGCTGTAAGTAAATATGCCCTGACTAAATCCAGAAATTTGTAATTGATTGTACTAGCTCTAACTGATGATCTCCTAACTAAATCCAAAGTCCACGAGTCCTTCAAATGCCTTGATAGATCCACCCTGATAGATCAATTATCTCCAAACTCCATTCAAAATTATATCCTAACTAAATCCAAATTATCTCGTAACAAAATCCAAAAGTATGTCCTAACTAAATCCAAATTATCTCCTAACTAAATCCAAAATAAGTCCAAACTCCATACAAAATAATTATCTCCTAACTAAATCCAAAATATCTCGAAACTCAATTCAAAAGTATCTCCTAACTAAATCCAAAATAACTTTCTTAGAATCCAAATCTGCTGACAACTTTCTCATGCCACATAATCCTAACTAAGTCCTTCAATATGTCATAGCTACATCTGACTTACACTTCCTTTCAATCTTAATCTCATCACAACTTTCTGAAAACATAAACCCTAATCCTCAGATGACATATCCTAAATCCTAACCAAATCCGACCGAAAGCTCCTCGCAACTTTCTGAAACAATAAACCATAAACCTCACATGACATATCCTAAACCCGAATCAAATCCGACCCCTATTGGTTCTATATGCAGAAGGGACCAGAAAAGATTTGAGATGGCTAGGCACTTATAGCGAAGATCCGGCGTGAAAAAGTTGATGCACGTCGATGAGGATGATGTGGCCTCTCGGGTCGGGGAAGGTGGCGTCCGCTCGGGGAAGGATCTGGCGCCGCGACCCGACTGGGGTGACTTGCGATGGAGGGAGTGAGGGGGAGTAGGAGCAGGAGGGGTAGACACGGCGAGTGCGATCGACGGCGATCGAGGGCGTCGGGGGCGATCGGCGGCGATCAAGGGCGCCGGAGGCGATCGGCGGCGATCGAGAGGGCGCCGGAGGCGATCGGCGGCGATCGAGGGCGCCCGAGGTTAGGGCTCGAGAGGAGGAGAGAGGACGAACCGCTCGAACCGAAATTCAAAAGAGTACGCACGATGATGGGACCTCTATAATGAAGTGCTTTATTAATGCAATTAATTTAATCAAAAAATTTAGGACAAGAATACCCCAGGACCAAATTGGGCCGATTAAAGGTAAAAAAATAGGTCGAAAATATCCTTGGGCTTAAAAAGGCCCAATTATTCTCATTCGTTAGATCGGCCATATAATACATGTGCTCTGGTGTATTATAATGCACCGTAAAATCTCCCAAAACATGACGCAGGGTCAGTATGATGCTGGATGGATTTTTTGCGCTCAAAGATAGCTTCGTTTCTTCTAGTGCACATCACACATTACACAACAAAATTGCCAAACCAGAAGTTCTTCATAGCAACATATTTCAGCCGTCCTGAACAGAACCAGGTGTTCGGTTCCAAGACTAACAGAAAATCAAACAAAAGCACAGAAACTTGACACTGCTCTAACCAAGTAAATGGAGGCTAATGTTTCATAGAACAAGAAACGATCGACATCTATTAGTATAGTCTGAATTTCAAAGACCGGAAAAACTGGCAGTTTACATGCTCACAAGCCAACATATCCACTGTTCATGGGCCAAAAAAACCGCATGGGACCAAAGGACATACATGAATAAACAATCATGCTTATGATCAGGAGCCATAACCTCATCTCAAGGCACAGGGAGAGAGGAAAGAGAGGCACTCACCAGAATCCCTGTAGCCGGACATGGAGGTTACGATGCAGCCACCTTCATCCCATAGGTGTCAGGTTAGTATACACTGAAAACACGTACACTTTTTTGAAAAATTGAACATGATCTATAGCTCAAGCCATGTTGTAGTGGTACACCCGGCCCTAAGACGAACTCCATCAGGCAGCCAGCCTGCCGCCACAAGGTTCCTCGTCTTCGGCGCAATCCATCGACGACAACCCGGTGTTGCTGCATAACATAGAGATGTAAGAAGTCGATTCAATATGCAAACCATGAACAAGTTTTGAACTGGGCATTATAAAATGGATGAACATGTACCCTCTGCACGTGTACATTTACAACATGAGAGCACCCACAATTGCACAATGCTCATTAGCATGATGAGAATTTCATTCTTAAGATCGTATCACCTCAAGAACACGGGAGAGAGAGATCAAACACATAGCTACTGGTACATACCCTCAGCCCCGAGGGTGAACTACTCCCTCCTCGTCATGGAGAGCGCCGGGATGATGAAGATGGCCACCGGTGAGGGTTCCCCCCTCCGGCAGGGTGCCGGAACAGGGTCCCGATTGGTTTTTGGTGGCTACATAGGCTTGCGGCAGCGGAACTCCCGATCTATTCTGTTCCCCGATGGTTTTAGGGTATATGGATATATATAGGCGAAAGAAGTCGGTCAGGGGAGCCACGAGGGGCCCACGAGGGTGGAGGGCACGCCTGGGGAGGGGGGGTAGGCGCGCCCCCTGCCTCGTGCTCTCCTCGTTGATTCCCTGACGTGTACCCCAAGTCCCCTGGATTGCTTCCGTTCCAAAAATAACTCTCCCGAAGGTTTCATTCCGTTTGGACTCTGTTTGATATTCCTTTTCTGCGAAACACTGAAATAAGGGAAAAAATAGAAACTAGCACTGGGCTCTGGGTTAATAGGTTAGTCCCAAAAATAATATAAAAGTGTTTAATAAAGCCCATAAACATCCAAAACAGATAATATAATAGCATGGAACAGTCAAAAATTATAGATACGTTGGAGACTTATCAGCTTGCGCCGGCCATACGCGAGAGATTCCCAGAGATCTTGTGACCGATTTCTCCAGTCCCACAGGTGGTGCTTATGGCGACTAGGGCCATGGGGTGGACGGAGTGCGCGACCAGGATCCGGGACGCCACATTCGAGTGGATCCGGTGCGTGCAAGAGTGGAAGGGGGCGGACTGGGCGGTTGCGGCGGCGACCGAACCGGAGGCGAGATCTGCGGCCGCGAAGGTTGCCGAGATTCATCGAAGGAGGGCGGATGTGGAGCAGAGGAAGCTGGTGCGGCAAATCTACGAGGAGGCCACGCTGGAGGAGAGGGCAAGGATGCCCCCGTTTCCGTCCTCCCCGCCGGCCGAATTCGTGGTTTGGGCGAGGGCGGAAGCAAAATCAGAAGAGCCACTGCGAGCCCTCCGCTGGGAATGCATCCTTGGCGTGATTCCGCCGAGCGCGTGAGGATGGTGGCGGGTGAGGCGACATCACTGCCTCGCCGCGACATGCTGGAGCCGCCGTGGTTCGTAGAACGTGGCGAGGTTCCACCGGGCGCTCGTTCGAGGTTTCGTGAGGGGATTTGTATCCCAAGGAAACAGGTTTGTCTTATGATCTCACAGTCAACGATGGTGTTAAAACCAGTGGGGATTAGGCAAAGCTTGTGCTTGGAGAATCAGGATTTGCCGTTGGCGGCGAGGTCCAAATCGCCGGAAGTTGGGGGATTTTTCCCCTGTGATGCGAGAGATCACCCAGTCGGATTGGTGTGGGCCCCGTTGCCACATCGCTCCCACCAATCAGGTGCGAGAGGGTGAAAACGCCTTTGGCGAATACGCCTACTGCTCATGACGGCACGGATGAGACTATTTCTAGGGTTTTTGGACAGCTCTGGTCCATTCCCTCCCCCCGCCGTCGCCAGCCTCGTCCTCTTCCACCAAGCAAACCCACTACCACTCTAGGATGGCTCCGGAAAGATCTGGCTCGCTCCGGATATTTCTCTCCATCTGATCTATTCCCTGTCAAGCATCTCCGCCTGTTTGATCCTCCTCCGACACAGCTTAAGATCATCAGGGAGGGAATTGGGGGCGGATCCAAATCCTTTGCTCAGGCGGTCATGGCGGACAAGAGATGGAGCTGGCCGTCCCGATGAAAGGGTACGACAAGGACATGGTGGAGGCTAAGGAGGTTGCCAAGAAGGTCAAGTGGATGATTGATTCAGAAGGCGGGAAGATGCTTCGAGAGCGGACTCTAGCGGTGATGCGGCAGGCAAAAGAGGCTCTGCTCGAGGATGGAGAATCAGTGGCGACATTGGATGGGCTTGTGGATGCGTGGATTCATGCTTGACATGTGCAACATCATTTATAATTGTTTGTGGAAATAAGGAGAGAGTGTTATGTCTTTCACTTTCAAGTGTGATTTTAGTTTCTTCATTTCTATAACATGTACTGTCTACACATAATTGAGAATTTTCCATACATGCCACTGCAAGCTTCCCATATGCTAATATTTTGTCTAAAAGATTCATAGATCTAGAACCCTATCAGATTCTTCTCATATTGGCTATCTTACACGTGAGTCTAGGAGGTCAGAAAATGGATGACATTGACAGTAAACTAATAGATGTGGTGCATTTCAAACTAGACCGGATGGCCAATCTGAGAGGCGGTCAGAAGTAGAAGTCCCCTACCCGCACCGGTCAATCTGCTTCCTCACCCCTGCCAGCGACCCCGTTGCCACACTCGATGTTCTGTTCTCCTGCGTGATTCAGCCAAAGCCACATCGAGGACGCCGTGTTGAGCATGTCTCTGTCTCAGCATTGCCTTGCTCTCGCATGTGGGAATCAACTGAACGCGAGAATTTTTTCCAGTTGACTGATTAATAGCAAACACAAATAAAAATTGTACCTGTTGCTTACCACTACCAATCTTTGACCATGTAGAAGATCCAAAACCCAATTGGATTGTTCTCAGATTGGCCAGAGGTCGAAGAATGGAGAACACAGGGCTTTGGCAGCCTCGGCCGATTCAGCGCTAGGCAAACCAGAGAAATGGCCATTGGGCTAGAGGCTAGTCGACAGAGATTCCTCTGGGTCGTGCGGAGCCCACCAAGCGATGACACGAAGATAGAGCCGGACTTGGATGTGTTGCTTCCAAAAGGTTTCCTAGAACGAACCAAGGGCAGGGGCCTTGTCGTGAAGTCTTGGAAGCCATGGGCAGGAGGCTGCACCTCTACTACGTCTTCAAGCCCGTCGCAACCCCACCGGATCTCCTATCCAGGTCTTGTACCTGCAGCAGAAAGATAGGTTGGACTCTGGATAATTCAACCACAACAAATAGTAGCGCATGGCAATCTTGTCGATGCAAATCAGCCCAATAAGTTTAATTTTATCCATTGTCGCAAACACAAATAAACATTATTGATGTGTGGGCAACAACAAAAGAAAGATGCAGAAGATTAAGTGGCAGACAATTAAATGAAGGGAAGAAGCATGTACAGTACAACTGAAAAATGTCACTTCAATTCTGAAGAAGAGCAAATCGCTTCACTGCCATGTGATTTGCAAGGCTGAGTTATCCAACACAAGTGCATTGATTATGAATCTACAAAACTCAATGAACTCTATCTCGATGACTAAAGTACCAATGTAACAGGATGCAACCAGTCATCAAAGAAACAATTTTTTGGAGTATTTACATGTTAAAAGACAAAAAGAATTCCACTTGAAATTCCAAAGTTCCTCTAGTAGTTGGGTGTCGACACAAGCAGTTTAAAAACAGAGCACCACATCTATGTTCTTGAACTGCTTTGTAGCAAATGGCATGGACTAGAGTGCTAAATCAACATCTTCTTTGTAGCAAATGGCACAGACTTGGCACAAATGAATGAATGAATGAAGCATTCTTCATGTTGCAAACAAACAACCAATAACCAAAAGGAAAACTTGACACACATCACAAAGATAATTAACTAGAGAGCACAGAAATATACAGTTCATTTACATGCATAGCACTAGCACAACGAACAAATAATGATAGTCACTATCCAAGAGCATTGACACAATCACGACAAACTTGATAATACTACTAATCCAAAAGCGTCCCAGCAGCAGCAATATGTGCGAATAGTCAAATTAAACAATATGGATGCTGCCCGTGACAGGAATGGGAAGGAAGGAGAGGGGATGCATACCTCAGCATCCACCTGTGGCCAGTGAGGAAGGGGGTCGAAGATGCTGCTGCCGCCGCATCGACGACCAACAGTTCAACGGAGAGGGCACATGTGACACCCATGACGGTCCTAGCCACCAACAAGGCCAACCGCAGCCGATGTGCCACGCTGAGAGAAGGGGGGTGGGATCGGTTGATGCTGCTGTTGCTGCAAGACACAGAGATGGAAGGTGTCATAAATATTTAGATATTTGACTCAAGATGCAAATAGGAATTAACATGGAATCTTAACATACTTAAAGCATCAGCATTGCGAACATGAATTCATCATAAACAAGCAAAACAGTAAATAAGTACATTAAGCTCTATGCTACAACTGCTGCCAATGCCAAACTACTACCATGACGAACAACAGTCTACGACATTTCATGAACGGCACACCACTTGGAACAAAAAAGTAGACTCAAACCTCAATATTTTTGCGTGTTTTGCAAGACTATTACGAAACCTACACTAATAGATCGAAAACAGTAGCACACTATTACTACTCAAGGGAGGCTCGACAGATGGACAGGGAGAATCAAAGGAGGAAGGGCGTGAGGCGGACCGGACCTTGGGAGTCAGCGACTGTAGGGAGGTGGACGCCATGGCTGATGCAGTAGTCACAGAAGAAGCCAAGGCTGGGGCCTGCGAGCACGGATCCAAGGCCTACGTCCTTGGAGGTCGAGGAGGAGGACATGCGTTCGTCACCTCCATCCTCGTCCTGAACTGCCGGCTGCGGGGTGGGTCGCATCACGGATCCTGCAGGAGGAGGGCATACACGATCTGAAAAAATAAACCAAATCAAGGAATTTAGTAAACATGACAGGGAAGAAACATAGCTTAAAGAATCAACACTAGAAACAAAAACACAACAAACAACTACAGAGGCACCTATCTCAATAAGACTCCTAAGCCGGTACAACTCCAAGCCAACAGCGCGCGTGCAATCATCCAGTGAGGTGCGGGTGGTCTATCATGATGTGTTTGACATGCCCAAAATCTGATCTTGACTTGACCCATCTAGAAGGACGTAGGATCCAATGCCCAATATCTGAAATTGATTCTGCGAAGACTAATAACAGGAAAAGTGTACAAGCACCCTATTCAATGTTGTCGGTGCTGCAATAATGCAGTCTATAGGTAGAGTGCACCACGCGCTTGGTGGACCAGATCAACGTGGAAAATTATTGCGCTGCAAACTTTGGAATGACCAGCATGACTCAACAGTGGCCCACATTAGGCGTATACCACTCCAAGGCAAGCTGATTCTTCCTCCTAAAATCTCATCATAGTCACACACACACACACACACTGCTGTGACTGAGGGAAAGAAGATCTTTCCTCCCTCCTGAATCCCAATGGAGGGGATGGTGGTGAGCGCCGTGACAGGGGCCATGAGAACGCTGCTGCCCAAGCTCGCCGCCTTGCTGGCGAGCAAGTACAAGCTGTCCAGGGGCGTCCACAAGCAGATCGTCTTGCTGAGGAACGAGATGAGAAGCATGAACATTGAACGCCCTCCTCCTCAAGCTGTCCCGGACGGCGGAGCTCGACGAGCAGCAGAGGGACTGGCGTGACAAGGTGCGTGAGCTCTCCTACGACATGGAGGACTGCGTCGACATCTTCACCCACGACCTCAACGGCGGCCATGGCGGCAAGGCCTGGCTTAAGCGCAGGCTCAGGAAGATCAAGACGCGCCACGAGATCGCGAGCCGCATCGAGGAACTCAAGGCTCGAGCGCTAGAAGTAAGCAACTGCCACCATAGGTATAAGACTGATGAGTGTGTTGGTTCCCCTGACTGCATTCCTCCTCCTCGGGGCCTGGTCGCTATTGACCCTCGAATGGAGGCACTCTATGTAGATGCCAACAGCCTTGTGGGCATGGATGGCCCAAAGGAGAAGCTCATCAAGCTGCTCAGTCAGGAGCAGGTGGGTGGAAATCGCCTAAAAGTGGTGGCTGTTGTTGGATCTGGGGGTATGGGCAAGACAACTCTCGCCCACCAAGTTTATACTAAGATCAAAAGCCAATTTGATGCCAAGGCTTTCATAACGGTGTCTCCAAATCCCAGTACTGTGGAGGCTCTGTCAGATATATTGCAAGGATTTCAGGGCTGGGTGTCCTCTAGCCTGAATGATGAACGCAAACTCATCGAGGAACTCCGGAAGTACCTCAAAGAGAAAAGGTATGTTCTCATGAGTAATAACCCTAGATCGCCGCCGCCGCTCCCTTCCTTCGCCTTCCTTCTCCCTCGCCGCCGCTAGGGGACGCCGCCAGGCAAAGCCCGCGCGTGCGTCGGCGGCGGCGGGGCTCCCTCCCTCCTCGCGAGGTTCCTGGGCGGCGCGGGACGGCCGGCCCTCACGGCGGCGCTCGGTTCGGCGGCAGGTCGGGTCGCTGGCGGATCTGCAGGGCTCCCTTTGGTGGCGCTGCGGCGATGGCGGCGGCATGGTCTGCGCGGGGCGGCGAGGCGCGGGCTCCTCCTCCTCCCGATCTGATGGCGCCGCGGTGGCGCCGGCGCTCGGGCGTGCGGCGGGGTCCGCGAGGGTGGTCGGCGCGCGACGTCTCCCTTCCCGGTCTGATGGCTCCACGGTGGCGCCAGTGCTCGGGCGGCGGTTGGTGTCGGCAAGCGGTGGCGGGCGCTGGGATCTCGGCGGCGCTCCGGCGTGTGCAGGCGGCGGCGGTCCCTGTGCGCGGTCAGCAGCTCCGTCTCTGACCCGGACGGCGGGGGGGATGGCGGCGGCCCGGCGTGGCCGGCGATCTGGATGCGGTGGTGTCGGTGGCTCGCTGATCTGCCGGTACTCCAGGGTCTGCCTGGTGGTGCTGGTGGTGACGGCGGCCCGTGCACGAGAGTCGGATTCCTTCGAACTGATCTGGGTGAAAACTTGCCTTCGGCTCTGCTAAGGCCGGCGGTGGCGGCGCTATCTGCGTCGTTCCCTTCTTGAAGACATCGCTGTGGAGAAGTTCAAGGCCACTCTCTGCTACCTCCGGGGGAAACCCTAGATCGGATGATCGGATGACGGCGGCGCTCTGGTGTCGTTCCTCCCTTGGGGGCGTCATTTTTGGAGGTACACACGTGATCGAGGGACCAGAGGACGGATTCTTTGGTGGAGCGGTGCTTCATCCTACACACTGATGGCGACGGATCTTGATGGCATGGCGCAGTGCAGATTCGGAGTTCGCTGTGGGAGGATGGACTCGCGCAGGAGGAGGACGCTGTCGGGCGTCGTGGTGGCGTTGATGGCAGAGAGACCTGGCACGGTACATGCAACAGTACAGCTCTGAAGATGGATTTGTGGCATGTGGCTGCGGCGGCCTCATACCCGGCAGGCGTCCTGGTTGAGGAGTGCGCCGGACTGGTAGGTGCCCCATACCCGGCAGGCGTCCTAGTTGGGACCTCAGGTCTTAAATGTTTAGGTTTGGCTGCGATGTCTGTTTGGTATTAGGCCCAGACTATCTGCGTCCCTTCATCAATTGGATATGTGTAGCGACAGTTGTTGCTTAGACGGTGGCTTTAGTCTTGCTGTTGTATTGCTTTGTAAGGTTTTGTGATAATAATTAATGAAGTGGCCGTATGCATCGCCCAGATGCAGAAGCCGGGGGTCATCCTCTTTTTCTAAAAAAAGATAAGGTTATGGCAAGGGAACGATGAACGATGTACATGCAGAGTGTGTAATTTTAACTTCTAAGGAGAAACCATAGGTTAGAATCCTACACAGTTTGTACATGCATTCATGCAATTAACACAATAATTTGTATGTTGTATTGGTTTACAGATACCTTATCGTGCTGGATGATATCTGGGCAATCAACGCATGGAACACTATTAAAGGTTCTTTTGTGGAGAATAATCTTGGTAGCAGAGTTATAACAACTACACAAATTGAAGATGTTGCTAAGGCATGCTGCTCTTGTTTTCATGGGCATGTCTATAGGATCAGACCTCTTAGTGATCTTGACTCAAGGAGATTATTTTATAGAAGGGTATTTTATTCTGATGGTGTATGTCCCGAGCAACTAAAGAATTTTGCCGATGAAATATTGAAGAAATGTGATGGTGTTCCATTAGCTATTCTCAGTGTAGCCAGCTGTTTGTCTAGTCATGAAGAGGTAAACTCAAAGGAAACATGGGAGAAGATGCAAAATCATTTTGGTTTTCCATTGGAAGGACACCCTGCATTAGAATGGATGAGGCATGTGCTTACGCTTGGCTACAATGATTTGTCTTTGGAACTTAAGACATGTTTGTTGTATCTTGGTATATTCCCGAAGGCTTATAAAATAAAGAAGGAAGATTTGGTGAAGAGATGGATTTCCGAGGGTTTTATTACTGAAAAGCATGGTTATAGCCATCAGGAGATTGCCAAAAGCTACTTTAGTGAGCTCATCAACAGAAACATGATCCAAATAGCCGAGTACGATGACTGTGGGCATGTGCTGTCGTGTAGAGTGCATGATCTAATGCTTGACTTTATCATACTGAAATCCACGGAAGAAAACTTTATCACTGTAATCAAGGAACCACCTACAGTTAATGGTGCACACAACATGAAAGGCCATTTCGAATTCCGCCGGCTATCCCTCCAAGTTGGTAATTCAGAATGCACTCAGGTTCTGGATAACACCGCTCTCACCCAAGCTAGGTCTTTGAACTTTTGGGGTGAACCAGAATGTATGCCTTGTCTCTCAAGTTTTCAACTTCTGCGAGTTCTGCATCTTTATGCTCGCGGCGACGAATATCAACACTATGATCTATCTCCCATATGCAACTTTTTCCAACTGAGTTATTTGAAGATTGGAGGTGTGCATTGTGAGAAACAGCTAAGAGAATTGCATAAGTTACAACATTTGAAGACATTGGAGCTAGCTAGTGGTGTAGGGTCTTTTCGGCTAGATGTCAGCATATTACCCTCGACGCTGTGCCACCTGATTGTTCCGACTAGTGTGGAACTGTTTGGTGAGATCGGCAGGATGAAAGCCCTTTGTACTTTGGTTGGATTTTCCATACTTAGTCGAGATGTGAAGAGCATGAAGGCCCTGGGTGGTCTGAGCAATCTGAGTGAGCTAGAGCTATATCTTCAAGGGCCTTTTGTTCCTGATTCTGATTCTAATTATGATTCTGTTTATGATGCTCTACTCCTCTCCCTCAGCAGACTTGGCAGGCTTCAATCCATAACCTTCCACGGTCTCGCAAGATATACTTACCTGACGAAGTATGTCTTAACTTGTTGGTCCGCTCCACCGCCAAGCAATCTTCATAGATTACATGCGCAGGGCTTCACCTTCTCTATCGTCCCAGACTGGGTTGCACAACTCAACCAACTCAGAAGCCTGAAAATTGAAGTTCAGTCACTGCTGAGAGATGGTGTGGAGGTTCTGGCCAGGCTGACCATGCTGGTGCACCTTACATTATTTGTTAGGGAGCATGTTCCCCTGGAAGGCTTAGTCATCCGAGGTGGAGCATTTCCAAACCTGAAAGAACTTTGGTTCAGGCATAAAGTGCCTTTCCTCATGTTCGAGGCAGGGGCCATGCCCAGGGTTCAGAGCCTCACTATAGAGTGTTATGCACAAGCAGAGCGGCAAGGTGATGATAGTGTACTTGATGGCATCGAGCATCTGGGAAGCCTAGAGACATTCAAGGTGTACATTTGTAACCAGGAGAATTTCAGCATGTTGTATCCATTGACATTGAATCTTTCCAAGAAGCCGCACGTGGAAGATATTCAACGGTGGGACAAACATAGTATTGAGGCAATGCTGAGGAAGGCGATCAACAAGCATCCAGGGAATCCACATGTTAGCATTGAACTTGTGTAGCGCGATCAAGTGGACAGGATGGGAGGAAGTGCAGAGCTCAAAATGGTAGGTTCAGAAACTTCTATGCTCCAGTACTTCATTTCTCTCTTGCCTGCTATGTGAAAGTTAAAAATACTGCTTATTGAAAAAGTGCAGCATTTGCATGGTCATGAACCTACGAGCTAGCCGATTCTAATTATATGTGATTTAGATATAGTTCTTCTCTTCTTCATTTCTTGCTATTCTGACATGCATTACCCTACATTTCACAACTAATTGGCAGGGCCATGTTACAATGGGCGCCCTACTGCGGTTCCATGGCCAGAATAAACATTGACTGGTGGAGTGCCATGGAGAGGGCTGCTTAGCTAGGCACATGTACATTGCTGTCAGTGTTAGGATGTAAGCATTGTCATGTTGCCTGCTTGATATAGTGTGTAAGAACCCTTTAAATTGCGCGTCCGTTCTATGATAAACTGATTCAAGCTTGAACTTAGTGTCCAAAAACTTGAGAACTTTCGGAGGTAGAAAGTTACTAGTCTTCGAACTGATTCAGCTGTTAAGAAGTACAAGAAGCTCTGTCATCAGCAGGTCATGGATTGTTTCGCAAACGTCGTCAGGGGTTTGGATTCATCAGATGGCATGTAATCTAAACGTATATGGTTGCATATATAATAGTAACCTTATACGTCAATGTTTTCCTGATGAGCAGGATTAAACGGTTCTTACGCGACTAATGTTACATCCTACTGTTATTCGGTGTGGATGATCTTTCTAGACAATGTTAATCATTTTTCACTAGGTGGATATTCAGAGATGTCTTCATCTCTTGCAGCATCGAAGGGACTCTGCTTCTTTTAGAATACAGGGTGCTCTGCTTCTTGGCTGCATGAGAGGGAAACGCTACTGCCATGTTTGGCTTCATTAACAGGTTACTTCCCATTCATTTTTGACGGAAAACAGTAGGATTTCTCCTAGTGCGTGTTCTATTTTTGATTTTGTTTAAGAAATTGTAGCAGCACTATACAAAAGCGTTTAAGCTCCAAAAAAGAAAAAGGACGCCGATAACTGCCACACGTGTGGCATCTAGGGGGTTGTGCCGCACGTCCTATTGTTGGGGAACGTAGTAATTTCAAAAAAAATTCCTACGCACTCGCAAGATCATGGTGATGCATAGCAACGAGAGGGGAGAGTGTGATCTACGTACCCTTGTAGACCGACAGCGGAAGCGTTTGGTTGATGTAGTCGTACGTCTTCACGGCCCGACCGATCAAGCACCGAAACTACGGCACCTCCGAGTTTTAGCACACGTTCAGCTCGATGACGATCCCCGGACTCCGATCCAGCAAAGTGTCGGGGAAGAGTTCCGTCAGCACGACGGCGTGGTGATGATCTTGATGTACTACTGCTGCAGGGCTTCGCCTAAGCACCGCTACAATATTATCGAGGACTATGGTGGCTGGGGGCGCCGCACACGGCTAAGAATAAGATCACGTGGATCAACTTGTGTTCATGGGGTGCCCCTTGCCTCGGTATATAAAGGATGGAGGAGGAGGAGGCCGGCCAAGGCTAGGTGCGGCCAGGATGTGGAGTCCTACTAGGACTCCAAGTCCTAGTAGGAGTCCACCAAGAGGGGAGGAAGGGAGAAGGAAGTGGAGGAGAAGGAGAGGTGGCCGGCCCCCTTTTCCCTAGTCCAATTCGGACTAGAGAGGAGGGGGGCGCAACAGCCCCTTGGCCCTTTCTCCTCTTCCCACTAAAGCCCATCAAGGCCCATTGCTTCTCCCGTAACTACCCGGTACTCCGAAAAATATCCGAATCACTCGGAACCTTTCCGATGTCCGAATATAGTCGTCCAATATATCAATCTTTACGTCTCGGCCATTTCGAGACTCCTCGTCATGTCCCCGATCTCATACTGGACTCCAAACTCTTTCGGTACATCAAAACTCATAAACTCATAATATAACTGTCATCGAAACCTTAAGCGTGCGGACCCTACGGGTTCGAGAACAATGTAGACATGACCGAGACACGTCTCCGGTCAATAACCAATAGCGGGACCTGGATGCCCATATTGGCTCCTACATATTCTACGAAGATCTTTATCGGTCAGACCGCATAACAACATACGTTGTTCCCTTTGTCATCGGTATGTTACTTGCCCGAAATTCGATCGTCGGTATCTCAATACCTAGTTCAATCTCGTTACCGGCAAGTTTCTTTACTCGTTCCGTAATACATCATCTCGCAACTAACTCATTAGTTGCAATGCTTGCAAGGCTTATGTGATGTGCATTACCGAGAGGGCCCAGGGATACCTCTCCGACAATCGGAGTGACAAATCCTAATCTCGAAATACGCCAACCCAACATGTACCTTTGGAGACACATGTAGAGCTCCTTTATAATCACCCAGTTACGTTGTGACGTTTGGTAGCACACGAAGTGTTCCTCCGGCAAACGGGAGTTGCATAATCTCATAGTCATAGGAACATGTATAAGTCATGAAGAAAGCAATAGCAACATACTAAACGATTGGGTGCTAAGCTAATGGAATGGGTCATGTCAATCACATCATCCTCCTAATGATGTGATCCTGTTAATCAAATAACAACTCTTTTGTTTATGGTTAGGAAACATAACCATCTTCGATTAACGAGCTAGTCAAGTAGAGGCATACTAGTGACACTTTGTTTGTCTATGTATTCACACAAGTATTACGTTTCCGGTTAATACTATTCTAGCATGAATAATAAACATTTATCATGATATAAGGAAATAAATAAGAACTTTATTATTGCCTTTAGGGCATATTTCCTTCAGTCTCCCACTTGCACTAGAGTCAATAATCTAGTTCACATCGCCATGTGATTTAACAGTAATAGTTCACATCACCATGTGATTAACACCCATAGTTCACATCGATATGTGATCAACACCCAAAGGGTTTACTAGAGTCATTAATCTAGTTCACATCGCTATGTGATTAACACCCAAAGAGTACTAAGGTGTGATCATGTTTTGCTTGTGAGATAATTTTAGTCAATAGGTCTGTCACATTCAGATCCGTAAGTATTTTGCAAATTTCTATGTCAACAATTCTCTGCATGGAGCTACTCTAGCTTATTGCTCCCACTTTCAATATGTATCTAGATCGAGACTTAGAGTCATCCAGATCTGTGTCAAAACTTGCATCGACGTAACTTTTTATGACGAACCTTTTTGTCACCTCCATAATTGAGAAATATTTCCTTATTCCACTAAGGATAATTTTTGACTGCTGTCCAGTGATCTACTCTTAGATCATTATTGTACTCCCTTGCTTAACACAGTGCAGGGTATACAATAGATCTGGTACACAGCATGGCATACTTTATAGAACCTATGGCTGAGGCATAGGGAATGACTTTCATTCTATTTCTATCTTCTGCCGTGGTCGGGCTTTGAGTCTTACTCAATTTCACACCTTGCAACACAGGCAAGAACTCTTTCTTTGATTGTTCCATTTTGAACTACTTTAAAATCTTGTCAAGGTATGTACTCATTGAAAAACTTATCAAGCGTCTTGATCTATCTCTATAGATCTTGATGCTCAATATGTAAGCAGCTTTACCGAGGTCTTTCTTTGAAAAACTCCTTTCAAATATTCCTTTATGCTTTCCAGAAAATTATACATTATTTCCGATCAACAATATGTTGTTCACATATACTTATCAGAAATGTTGTAGTGCTCCCACTCACTTTCTTATAAATACAGGCTTCATCGTAAGTCTGTATAAAACTATATGCTTTGATCAATTTATCAAAGCGTCTATTCCAACTCTGAGATGCTTGCACCAGTCCATAGATGGATCATTGGAGCTTGCATATTTTGTTAACACCTTTAGGATTGACAAAACCTTCTAGTTGCATCGTATACAACTCTTCTTTAGTAAATCCATTAGGGAATGCAGTTTTGTTTATCCATTTGCCAGATTTCATAAAATGCGGCAATTGCTAACATGATTCGGACAGACTTGAGCATAGATACGAGTGAGAAAATCTCATCGTAGTCAACACCTTGAACTTTGTCGAAAACCTTTTTGCGACAATTCTAGCTTTGTAGATAGTAACACTACTACCAGCATCCGTCTTCCTCTTGAAGATCCATTTATTTTCTATGGCTTGCCGACCATCGGGCAAATCCATCAAAGTCCATACTTTGTTCTCATACATGGATCATATCTCAGATTTCATGGCCTCAAACCATTTCGCGGAATCTGGGCTCATCATCGCTTCCTCATAGTTCGCAAGTTCGTCATGGTCTAGTAACATGACTTCCAGAATAGGATTACCGTACCACTCTGGTGTGGATCTCACTCTAGTTTACCTACGAGATTTGGTAGTAACTTGATCTGAAGTTACATGATCATCATCATTAGCTTCCTCACTAATTGGTGTAGTAGTCACAGGAACAAATTTCTATGATGAACTACTTTCCAATAAGGGAGCAGGTACAGTTACCTCATCAAATTCTACTTTCCTCCCACTCACTTCTTTCGAGAGAAACTCCTTCTCTAGTAAGTTTCCAAATTTAGCAACAAAAGTCTTGCCTTCAGATCTGTGATAGAAGGTGTATCCAATAGTTTCCTTTGGATATCCTATGAAGATTTACTTCTTTGATTTGGGTTCGAGCTTATCATGTTGAAACTTTTTCACATAAGCATCGCAGTCCCAAACTTTAAGAAACGACAGCTTAGGTTTCTTGCCAAATCATAGTTCATATGGTGTCGTCTCAACGGATTTAGATGGTGCCCTATTTAATGTGAATGCAGTTGTCTCTAATGTATAACCCCAAAACGATAGTGGTAGATCGGTCAGAGACATCATAGATTGCACTATATCCAATAAAGTACGGTTATGACATTCGGACACACCATTATGCTGTGGTGTTCCATGTGGCATGAGTTTGTGAAACTATTCCACATTGTTTTAATTGAAAACCAAACTCGTAACTCAAATATTTGTCTCCGCGATCAGATC